ACCCTTGATAATTAAAATTTTTTTTTTTCATGTCTTACACAGCTGTCTCCCTTCACCCACTTTTCTGTTGTCCATCCCCCTGGGAGGAGGTTATATGTCAATCATTGTGATAGGGTCCCCTAAACTTCCCCTCTCCTGCCCACGCCTTCCCTTCCCTTCTGGTATCAATACTCTCATTATTGGTCCTGAGGGGTTTATCTGTCCTGGTTTCCCTGTTTCCAGCTCTTATCTGTACCAATGTACATCCTCTGGTCTAGCCACATTCGTAAGGTAGACTTGATAGTGGGGGTGGATGTGTGGGTTGGATGCATTAAAGAACTAGAGGAAAGTTGTGTGTTTCCTTGGTAGGTGCTAGACTGCACCCTGACTGCTCATCTCTTCCTTGTGACCCTTCTGTAAAGGGATGTCCAATTGACTACAGATGGGCTTGAGTCTCTACTCTGCCCTCCCCCTCATTCACATCGATATGATTTTTTTGTTTTCTTTTCAATCTTTGATGCCTGATACCTGATCCCATCCACACTTCATCACCTCACAGACTGGTGTGCTTCTTCCTTGTGGGCTTTGTTGCTTCTCAGCTAGATGGCCGCTTATTTATCTTCAAGCCTTTTAGACCACAGATGCTATATCTTTTGATAGCCGGGTACCATCAGCTTATTTCACATTTACTTATGCACCAATTTTGTCTTCAGCGATCGTGTTGGTGTTGGGAAGGTTAGGCTCACAGAATGTCACGTTATCACAACAAAGTGTTCTTGTGCTGAGGGAGCGCTTGAGACCCAATGTCCATCCCCTACCTTAATACTTAACATATAAATGTGTGTACGTAGATCTATTTCCCTAACCTTACATATAAATATATTTACATATGCACTTACCTGTATTTAGACCTCTACAAATGTCCTTTGCCTCCTAGTTCTTTCACCTATTTCCTTTTACTTTCCTCTTGTCCCACTATCATGATGGGCCTTCATTTGGGTTTTGATAATTCCTCCGGGCTACATTGCCCCTGATCAAGGCATCCATCCTATACCCTCCTTGCCATCGATTGTAGATCACTTGGTTGTTTCCCTGTCCCTGGGTTGGTTGTCACCTACTTTCCCTTTCCCTGCCTCTCCTTCTTGTGTGTCCTCCTTGTACCATCAGTCCATTGTTTTCTCCTCCAGATTGTTTATCCCACCTATCTCATCTAGATAGACATGCAGAGACAATGATAAGCACAAAACCAAGGCAGAGCAAAATAAAGCAACAAAGGAAAAAAAACAACAACAGAACAACAACAACAAAAACCAGGACAAAAAAAGAAAAGCCTATAACATTTATAGTACAAATAGTTCCAGGTTTGTTTGTAAACCTGTAGGAGTGTTGTCCAGTGGAGTCTGATGGGTTGCCTTGTCCTGGTACCAAAGGCTATGTTTGGTATTCCCCGGGAATTTCATTGCTTTGCTCCCCTTGCTGTTCTGTTGTACACCCTAGTGTTTCACCACAGTGTGTGGGGTCAGATCGGGCACAATCGCCGCACAGTGTCTCCAGTATTGTCTCCCATAGTGCTATGGGTTAGTGAAGGACATTGTGTCTTGTGGTGGTGCTGGCCCTATGGTCCTCTCTGTGCATTGGCTGCTCTGAACAGGAATGCCATCCTGGGGGCTTGGTGGGCCAGGTTGTGTTCCACTCTCTCCTTCCCTCTTCCTCTGCTCCTGTGTGCTCTGATCAGATGTGCCCTTCCCCCTGAGCTGCACTTTCAGTGCTGTCCTCTGAAATGCATTCTTCTGTCGGGGAGGGGGTTGTCCACGTAGTTGGGATTGGGGCCAGCCCTGCCACCATTGTTTCGTTACTATGTAAACCTGACAACCGGTTGAGGGCAGGCGTTGTGAACCATATTTTACATATGACGAAGCTTGATGAAATGCTGAGATGTCCATGTCTTCATTCACGTCCAGGGAGGGAAGAAGCCCACACCCTCACCACTGAACTCATACACAACATCATGCTAAAGATTGGAGTGGTCAAGGGTTTCATCTTATTTGGATTTACAATGAATGCTCATGGAAGCAGGAATCAATAACTCAAAGGACATGTTGCTTTCGACACATCCTTTCCACAAGACCTCTTTGAAGTGTCCACAAGCAAGGATGTCACTTTGAGGACTAACCCAAAGTGACCTTGACCCAACCCCTGGTATCTTCAATCGCTTCATATGCATGTAAGTCAAAATGAATAGGGAAGGCCCAAGAGGAATTAATGCATTTGAATATGCATATGGTGTTGGCAAAGAACATTCAAATCACCATGGACTACCCAAAGAACAAACAAGTCTGTCATGGGAAAAGTACGGATGCAAGGATGGCAAAACCTGTTACGCACTTTGGACATGTGGTGAGGAGTCACCGGTCCCCAGAAAAAGACATCATGCTTGGCTAATTCAGAGGGGCAGCGGAAAAAGAAGAGAAGATCTTCAAGGAGAAGAGTTGACATCGTGGCTGCAACAGTGCAATGGTGAGGAGAGTGCAGGTCGAGGCAGGGAGCCCTTCTGATGTATGCGGCATGGAAGGCATCTCACAACAGAGGATCGCAGGATCTTCTAAAACAAAACAGGAACAAACAATCCCGCTGCCATCGAGTAGATTCCCGGCTCATGCAGCATTGCTGAGGCTAGAAATATTTAGGGGGCATCAGACAGCTTCATTTTTCTCTTGAGAAGCATCTGGTGGGTTTGAACTATCAACCTGGTGGCTAACAGTCCCAAGACTTAACCAGACAGCACACCATGGGCTCCTTTCTAAGGAGCTCTAATTTCAGAGACGATGCCAATGTTCTTCTATCCTTCCATTTTGAGAAGCCCAGGAACGGAAGAAACACCCAGGTTTCCACAGACCCCATTAAGTCAGTCAACAAACTGTGTGCTGAGCATCACCAGGCACTGGCAACACCGTGAGGAGCCCATGGGGATCACTTTAAAACCAGTGGATGTTGGTTTATTGCCCTCCAGGGTTTTGAGATCAAGAGGTAAGGCTGAAGAAGCCCAGGTCTGGGGAAAGGTGTTCAGAACCAGGAAATGTTAAGCAGCATCCTTGTAAGTGCCAACCTTGTACCTGGGCATCCTTCCACTCTGCCCTCTAGAGGCTGAGCCCAGGCTCACACCTGGAGACCCTAACCGGTCCGCCCCACATCTGGGCTTATCAGCTGGCAATTGGCTGCCTCCAGCTTCTGCCTCTTGAGGGAGGGTAGGTACACTTCTCATCCTATCTTTACTTGCATCTCTAAACCGAGCCTTTTCCCAGACTTCTAAGACCACCCCCACCCACCCACCGCGCACATCAAAAGTATAGCTACGAATTCAGAGGCCCAAATTCCTCTCCATACATAGTGGTTTCCAGACCTAAAACTGCCTTCGTTCCTCCACCCCCCTCTTCTCTCCAGCAGCTTCTGGCTGGCCCCGACCCTCGGCCTTAGTCCTTTCAGGCCCCACTTTCAAACTCACTCTTGTAAGTTGAGTCTAACTCTTCCTTCTCGGTGCTCCTTCCCACACTCCCACCGCTTAAACTATTCCTGGCCTTTTCCTCTCTAATCTCAGGCCCTTTCTCCGGCGTCCAATCTTTCCCTCTCTCCCCTCTTGATCCTTCTTGGGCGTCCAGACGACTGGTTCACTTCATGGTTTCTTTTAACCTCCTTTTTGGGCTCCCTCCAGTAGCTGGGGGATCTGCTCGGCTGGTTCCTAGTGTCCAGCTGCCCGTCCTTCCCCTGGGGCCTCTCTGGGCTTCCCCCAAACGGATTTTTGTTGCTGCCCTCTAGCTCCTCTGTCCGGGAGGGAGTCTCCCCTTCCCCACCTTCCCCCTGAGCTTCTGGTCAGCCTCCTCCGGGGAGCTCTGTCTTTCTCCTTGCACCCCGCCTGCCCCCGCTGGTTTCCCCCCTCCAGATCCCGAGCTCTGGTCTTTGTCCCTTGTTCCCATCTGATGTGGCGGTCTGACTCCGTCCACCTCTCTCTCTCCCTGCGTCGTGTCCAGCCGTACGTAGCTCTCTCTCCTAGCTCTGTCTCCATTGCAACTTTCCCACTAGTTGGCCCTGTATTTTTCCTTCTCTGTCCCCGGGCCCCGGGGCAGGAGTACAGCTTCGGTCTCTCTGGCGAACCCTCGCCTCCCCGTGTCTTCTCCCTTCTGGAGAGTCTCTTTTCTCTCTTTGTCTCTTTCGCCCCCTTTCCTGTCTCTGTCCCTTCCCCTCTTTATTTCATGGTCTCTCCAGGGTATCCCTGACTTTGACGTTCCTCTCTCCCTTCTCCCCCTCCCCCCGCCCTCCCCGCTCCAATATCTCTGTCTCTCCATCTCCGGGCCCTCGATCCCTCCCTCTCCCTCGCTCGC